CATCGACTTGGACCATGTTGGAATAAGGGACTACATCCCACAAAATCGTCAAAAGGCTATTTTCCAGATAGGAAGGACTTGTTTCAAGGTTGATAGATCCCCTTCAGCTCTTTTGTTAGAAGCTAGCGCCAAGTTAGTGCTACTTCTTCTTTTTCTTCCTTTCGACTAAGTTCCTCCTTCAGACTGTTTTTGAAGTTTTTCAATCCGGGAAAGCTGTATGCCACAAAATTGTCTCCAAACTAGACGGTCACCCTTGTGGTACGGTAGTAACAGTACGCACTAGGTTCTGTTACAATGTAGGTTTCTCGTACTTCACACTGCTCTTCATCCTTATAGAATGTTTTCATGTCTGAATAAGGAACTCGTTAGAACATCCCTCCCTAGAAAACCTCCCTGGGAACGAAACACCAAGTGAAACCAATAATGGGGATTTCCCATTTTCTTATACATTCCCTAGAACTGAACAAAATGAATCCTCTCATTTAGGTAAAGCCGTGGCAAAAGAATGTCGACGTCACAGAGAACGAGATTAGGATGATATGTATGTTATCTAGGCAGATTTTTCTGCATCAGCCAATGTTGCTGGAATTGGAACCGCCACTAAAAATTGCAGGTTGGTCGAATTCTTGTCGAGGCCGAGGCTGCCTCATGCCCTTTTGAGCCTTTTCCAAAATGGCATCTTTCATACCATGACAGAGGGATTTTGAGTACAAGCAGCCCATGCAAAATACCTAAAGCTGCTCATCCATCTTGGCCCCACTGATGAAGTTTTCACTGTTTGCAGCCGTACGGCGAATCCACATCGTCCTAGGCCCTAGGCTTGCCTATGATTGATGAAGGCGCTTGAAGTTCGAAAAGTTAGGTCCTGAATGAAGTCAGCTTTCATTTCAGGTGATATTCACGGCCAATACAACGATCTGCTACGTTTATTCACTCTGGCGGGTTTTCCTCCCGAATCAAACTACCTCTTCCTTGGCGATTATGTCGACAGGGGACCGAAGAGTATTGAGGTGATTTTCAGAGCTATCAATCATTTCGTTGGTCGGCACATATGTGTCAAAGAGATCGGTGACTGGAATGCTGCCAACATTTGTCATTCACGTTCGGAGAAAACTGGTGCGAAAATTCGCACCCATCCTGTGTGTGTACCCCATGGAAATGGGGTTATGGGAAACGAATTTGATGGGAATCCATGACGGGGGCTGATGCCTTGATCCGTCATGGATTACGCGCATCAAGTTCGCCCTTCTATTATTCAACCATAGGGGTGCAAGAGGGGGATGCAACAAAAACACCCCTGTTTGTGCAGTTTGGGGGCTCAGATTCACAATTGAGGGGACAAAAGGGAAACGCTGAGCCCTGCCTCAAATTTGGATTCCCTCCCGGTTCTTGTAAGTGAAATGGGACAGCCCGTTACGTCATATCCCGCCTAATAGGAACCTCGACTATTCCCACTTGCACTATCACGTCATCGAAGGATAGTACAAGTTCTAATAACCCGAGCTACTTATCATCCGATAGCCGAGGTCATATGCTCTCTCATGTCCCAGCAATTCAGTGAAGAGGACGGTCCTGTGGGCTTAGTCAAACTTGTCAGTAGAGAGCGGGAGGAGGGGGTGGGTTGAGCCACTTTTTTTCCTTGTCCACGACAGAAATAGAGGGAACGGATCCCTTTGAGCTTGATTCCCAACCCCCCAAGAAAATGATCGGTTCACTCGCCAGCGAAAGGCCACTCGGTAGGTTCGGTACAGAAATGGGACTCGTCTTCTACTCCGTTAGGTACCACATTTCGGATCTGACTAAAGCGGATTACTCACAATCCGCATGTTATGCTAGAAAAGGAGGGCTAGTACTTTCGAGTTCTGAGTGGCCATGGCGTTGTGCTGCTCCATACTGGAAACTATGTCCTTCTCGATCCCTAAGAAAATTCAATCCTTTTTCTAATCACCTCTAGGATCTGTGGACATGGACCGAGGGAATTGTTTCCCAAGGCGTAGCTACCAGTTGTTCGGTGCATGGCTTGGATTTCCGGCTACCCGAGGCCCTCGGTCGCTCTGTATCAGCTGCTGGGATTTGGGCCTGCCGGGACAAGGGGATAACAAGATTGACAAGTTGTTGTTTAGACCAAATGAAGATTTATTGTGTTTACGGAGTTTGCAGTTTAAATTCCAGCAATATCATTGGAATCACCCATCTCTACCCGGTTGATTCCATAAAATTATAAGGGTTCGGCACGGGAGGATATTGACCTGGACATTAAATGACCCGTTTAAGTAATGTTGTATTGCTGTAAATGTCACTGCAATTCTGGATAGACCTTGGAGGAACCGCTTTCCTTTCCCGTCAAACAAAAGCCCGGTGGCGCTACTAAGGACCTACAGTCCAGAGATCAAACTCCCCAAAATATCTATCTGTATCACTTAACCGGTTGGATGTTCTTCTGGGATCATGAAGACTTCGACCTGAACATGGAATTATCCCTAAAAATCATTGTACTGGCCAAACACGTATTCGATCGCCCTCACGATCCTGAATGAAAGTCGAATGCATGGCCGCATACCGAAGCGGGAGTGATCAACTCAAAAAAATTTGGTCTCAATCCGTTTCTAGTCAGAAAACCTCATCCGTCATATTTCAGACGATCGTATTGTTGCTGTGCTATAAGATTAAATATCCAAACAACTTTTTTCTCCTACGTGGTAACCATGAAGTGGCAAATCTGAATCGGATCTATGGATTTCATGATGAATGTGAGTCTTTTTCAACGATTGCCCAACAACACGTGGTCATATCAACATGTGTTCCTTGGCTATTGTTTTTCAACAGTTGTCGTTGCACATTCCTCCTCTTCTGATGTCACTCAAAGTACACGTCAGCTTTGTTCACATAGCATGGACCCCCGCCATACTTCTACACCTCTTTTGAGTTCCCATAGGGCACCAGGCTATTCTTAGAAAGGGGAGTAGGGTTGTGAATGACTATCAACAGGTAGCAAGAATTCTTAAAAGTTCAGAACAGGATTCAAGTTCCTACAGTAATACTAGTCGTAAAAAAATGTGTAATGTAATGTAAATAATAAAGTGAGAAGAGGTAGTGGTGAATGGCGGAGGTGGTGTAGTAGCAAGTGGTGCACTTCACACATGCATGGTCACGTGCTTGAATCCCAGATCGATATCCTCCTAGGGCAACCAAGCATTCCATCCCTCCAGGATCGGTTAACTGGTACCAGACTCGACTCGCCCGGGAGGCTAAAAGCTTTGACTAGTACATAAGCTGGCCACCGCGATTCACTGTGTAGGTCACATCCTCATCCAACACGTCACTTTAGTTCTCTATGAGCTTGGGATGCATGGCGCATCCCAGATTGATTTACACCGAAGACTGAAACCTTCATCTTTATAAGCGCACGATAGTCACGGATGAGTCACGACAGTAGCTCATCCCGAGACCGATGAGAAAATGATGTGGGAAGGGTGTCATGTCGAATGTCATTTGTTTACAAAAATATACTTCATAGTAACCGAGACTAATCAGGTTTTTCACGACGAAAAATCTGGAGAAGATGTTTACAAACAAAACTGTCTCTTGCAATTAGTTGAACCCGAGAGCAGGAAAAAAGGAGTGATGGAGAATGAAATATGTTGCCCGGGAGCTGCCTAAAAGATATTAGTTCACGGCTGGTATCACCCAAAGAACTTGGTTTCCGCTGTGTATTCCTTTTTTGCTCGATGTTCATCCTACTAAACATTGTCGCTGCTGAAAAATTGAAGGCAGTTTCTCAACAGCTGATACATCTGTTTTTTCAGTGTTTGCCCATGTTTTTCATCGAAAAAATCTTTGTTGTAAAGTTGGGAATGCTTGTTGCGAATACCTCCAACTACTTTTCTATTAATAGATAATGAGGGAAACGTTGTTGAAGGGGTTCACTCCGTAGGGATCTGCGTTTCTAACGCTAATGGTCAGAGCCCGAGAAGGATAAGGCATGGGCTTTACGGTCCTGTAACGGTGCTAAGGAAGGATTCTGAGTCAAGTGTTTGGCCTGAGCCTTGGAAGCGGGCAGACCGAGCTTTCATTGATTGTACGAATCTGAAAAAAAGTCAAGAACATGGCGTGTAAACCAATCGGTGATCAGTGCATACCTAAAACGTGACTTCGAAGCTAATAAGCTATAAAATTACCCATAGAATGACACCCTGATTTTCAGGTAAACGACGCTACAGTATCAAATTATGGAAAACGTTTCAAGATGTATTCAATTGTATGCCGGTAGCAGCGTTGATTGATAATAAAATCTTCTGCTGCCATGGTGGTCTCTCACCTACGCTTAGATCGTTGGATCAGCTGAAAAGGATATCACGGCCATGTGACGTCCAGGAGACAGGTGGGTGAGAAAGGCAATACCTTGAGAATTTGAAAAAGAAAAACCCCATTCCGATTCGACCCCTTTAGGACTTCTGTGTGATATTCTCTGGTCGGATCCTGATTCTTCTGTAGTCGGTTGGGCACCGAACGAGCGTGGCGTATCCTATGTATTCGGAGTAGACGTATTGGCACAATTCCTTCAAAAAATGGATCTTGACATTGTCGTACGAGGACATCAGGTCTGTAGCAATCTTCAGTCATTGCCAGTATTATCGCGGTGGTAAATTCACAAGGAAAGCTATTTAGTAGAATAGTTAGGTCAAAAAGGATCAACTACTACAATCTTTTTTTCTTTCGCCTGAACGTTCTGCTATTTATTATATTTGACAGATTCCCAAACCTCGTTCAATTGCCGTATTAATCATAACCACTGCTATTGAAGGATGATTTTAGGTGGTAGAAGATGGCTATGAATTCTTCGGCCGTCGAGGCTTGGTCACCGTGTTCTCGGCTCCGAACTACTGCGGTGAATTCGATAATGCTGGCGCCGTTATGAATGTGGATGAGAATTTGTTGTGCTCCTTCCAGGTGAGTACCAATTTTTGCAGAAAACCTTTCCACCCATTGTAATATACAGTTTCTTTTTTTCTAATTGATTACGGCGAGTCTTCCACCGCTTAGGCCTCTCTGGTATCTACAGATGACTCTTCTAGAAGTTCTGTCCGTAGCGAACGAATTGAGGAGCTTCTATTGAGAGACTGTCAATTCCAGAACTTTGTACATTCTCGATCCTAATAAGGGCTAAAAACTGTAGCGGTGAGAAATAGTGCGATAGATCAAGGGACTGGCAGAATTTTCCCAGTAAAGCACGATACATGGTAGAGAATGTGCGGACGACAGCCTAGCCAACACCATGGGGCTCAAAATAGTCTCTTGGAAAGCCCCAATTAATACTTCCACCTGTTGCATCCGAAGAAGATGGCCAAGAGTCACTTAAATTCCTGGCAGATACCCATACAGATTTTAGAAAAAGGGGCTTTCTTGAGTTCTTAATGCTTTCATAGAACTTCCTCTCAAGGCATAGCTACGCTGGAAAACGTCGTGGCACCAATCTTCCAGCTGGGACCACAGTTCGGGAAAGTTCTCTTTTTCCTAGATGCGGCTCCACTATTCGAATTATGGGATCTTCCATTCATTTCAATTCCAACAACCCACCCTGTGCAGTCAGCCCCCTAGACACTTCATTCCTAGTTGCACTTCGAATCATTCTTTATGATTTTTGATGTTTGAAAGGTAAACGATGGCAGATTTGAAGCCACTCTGAGATGATTGATGCAGTACTTCGCACCCTCCTCGTGAACCGATCAAATTGATGATGATGACGATAGAGAGATTGACCTTTATCTGCACTTCCCCATCAGTTTCAAAAGGAAAACACAACTCAACTAAAGCTGATAGACTAAATTTTGTGCTTCAACCGCTTGAATTCTTCATTGCACATCTTAATTATTTCAAGGGTACGATCACCTTCTGTTCAAGAACGGCTCTCTCGAAGTTCTTATTTTCATTTGACCCTGATTACCTTCTACTATCTGGGCCACTAGTTGCTCACAGTAAGCTCACAGCGGCCTATGAACGGTGATAGCCCCTTTTGAAGAGGTTGATTTACGTCAATAATTTTCTTCCATTCCTCCGTCCTGTCATTATAACCCCTGGCAAGTCTTCTTTTTCTGAAGTAACCAGTACTCCCTCTCTATTTTGCTGACAGAAACAGATGCCGATA